CTCCGTACAGGGCTCGTCCCAGGTGCACGTGTCGCCGGAAGCCCCCGTGGTGGAGCACGGAGGGTCCCTCTGGATTAACTGCAGCCACACGTGTAACTACTCTTCTGACCCGGGGGGCCTGGAGACCCCGCTCACAAAAAGCATCGAAGAACGTGGGCCCGGCTGGAAGGCCTTTCACCTCACCAACATCACGCAGTGGAACCCGACCCTTCAGTGCCACTTCACCTGCCCTGGTGAAAACGTGACCATCGCATCTACAAACCTCTCCGTTTACCGTACGTGCCGCGGGCTCCCAGCTACAGGGCCGGGCGGCTCGGGGCCCCGGAGGGTTTCTGGGCAGCGCAGGGTTCGGGACACGGACACCTCGCTGCACAGCTGAGATGGGGCCCCGGCGTGGGCCCAGGCTGGCTGGGAGGGGAGGGGGCAGGGGCCTGGCTGGTCTAGGAGCAGGGAACGGGGCTGAGTCCTCTGGCCGCCGTCGGGCGGGACGAGTTGCGGGGTCTCAGTCCAGCTCCCGGAGGGAGCCGCCCACGTCCCAGCCCCCTTAGCGCTCCTGCTTGTGGGGAGCTGCCTGGGGCGCAGCCTGCCCCTTCCGGCAGCCCCCCACTAACCAGCCTTCGGGTCCTTGCTTCCCTGGCTCCAGGGGCGCCGGAGCGGGTGGTGCTGGAGCCACTGCCAGGGATGGAGCTGGGCCGGGCCTATAACCTGACGTGCCGGGTTCTGAACGTGGCTCCCGTCCGACACCTCAGCGTGACCCTGCTCCGGGGGGGCCGGGCCCTGCACACGGAGACCTTCCGGACCCGCCCCGGGAACGAGCCCGACAGCGTCACCGTGACCCACGAGATCAGCCCTGGGCGCTGGGACCACGGGCAGCAGGTCACCTGCCAGGCGAGCCTGGACCTGGCGCCGCGCGGGCCCCGGCTGCAGAGCAACTCCTCGGCGGCGGAGCTGCGGGTGTTCGGTGAGAGCCGCTTCCCTACCACCCGGCCCTCGGGCGTGTCCTCCTCTGGGGCCGACACTGGCCAGGCACAGGGACAAGCGCCAGACCCCC